AAAATATCAATTAAGATGTAATAAGGATATAACATAATTAGTAAACAAAGTTACAAGATTGAAATATCATAATAAATATAAGGTTAGGAAAATAGAAAGAGAAAACATAAATAATGTAGAAAACACAAATAATCAACACAAAATAAGATAGTAAATTGTTGATATCACCAGCAGGTGAACAAACAAGTGGAGGTTTGTATAAGATAAACATAAATACTAACCTGCTGAGTGAAGAATCCCTTAAAGCAAGCAGGCTACCTTGGTCTAAGAGGACCCTTAATTAAAATTGGACTATGATCTCATAGTTTGTTTCTTGGGAATAACCCCAAACCAGAAGTTAAGAATACTTAAAGAGATAGCTTCAGTGAAGAAAGAGAGCTCTTCTCTTTTTCCCCAGCAAAAATTACTAGTCAAATGAAGAGATAAACCAATCCCCCAATCCGAAGAGCATTCACTAAAAGATACAACCCTTCTCTTGTCTTGAAAGATCACTTTACACATTATTCTAGTTATTATTGCCTATAAACCTGAGTCTTCCAGTACAAGCCTTGGAAACACTGGTCTGTTATCTATTGCTTGTTAGCAGTCACTATTCATTCCCATCTCAATGATCTGTTGCTCTTTTGTATTACCTTGGCTATTAGCTACAGGAAGCTTGAGTAAGCCTCAAGCACATTTTTGACCTGAGCCTTGATTGAACTAATCTTCTCTCACCTTTTCATCTTATAGTTTACGGTTATAGCACTACAATTCTTCATTGTAAGTAGCATAAGCCTGAAAATCATCATCTTAACTGGAATCAATATCCTTTTGAACTCAAATTAATCAATTAGTGTCAATTTCAGTTGATTTGAACCTTGATGTCAGGATCTAGAAAAGTAAGAATGTTAATTAAATATCCCCTTTGACAATGGGATAAAAAGTATGAACTATATAGCTAATTTTCTTTGGCACATTTTGGACAGGTGAATTTCCTCATGACAAAGCAAATTTTGAATTAACAATATTCTTTCTCCTAAAAAAACCCAGGAAAAACAAAGCTACAAATTGTGAGTCAAGTATTAACAATATTTAAATTATAAATGGAGTACTTCCCGTTGCAATTTAGAGTGATTTTTAGACCTCTCAATTTGTCAGCCTGCTACTATTCAGAGACAACCTGACCATAGCATTTTAAATATTTAGAGACATTATTACATATGCTACCCCATAGCATATGTAATTAATGTCTATTTTATATGTACATAATATAGAGACATTATTACATAGGTACATATAAAAAACATTAATATTTAAATAAGTGGAATCACTATAATAGAGACATTATTACTCATTACATTAAGTTTTACTAGTCATGAAAGAAAACGTAAAAATAAACCAAAAACATTTATAAATAAACATTTTTTTAACATGAATCTACAAATAACTTCTAAACCTTAAGCAAAAGTTAGAATATTATTTCAGATTCTTAATTCTCATGCAAAATAACCTAGGGTACCTCACCAGAAGTACCCCTGAATTATTACTCCTTCAGGTACTTCTGTGTACTCTGAGTGACACTTGCTCATTTTGCTAAAAACCCTCCCAGTTACATCATACTACATGTTGTGACAGGTCTACATATGTAATTAAGGTTCATGCAGTTCGGGAAAAATCTACAAATAAGGTTGACATCATTGAAACCTTAACTACATTGTCACAACAACTGTAACTGGCTGGTCAAAAGCCATTTGTGGCCCTTTTTGGCCCAATTTGGCTAACTACGCCTGGTTAAGACCAGCCCACTGGTCATTAAAGGGTCCCAGTGCCCAAACCATGGCTGCAGGTTCGTCACAGCACTCCTTAGTGTGTGTTACAAGCCTCACTTCAGCCCTCTGCCACCTGTAACCAAGGACTACAGGTGTCCAGGCAGTGCTACAGGTCACTAATGCCTAGTAGGAGGCTTACACCAGCCAAACAGAGTTCTGAGTTCGCCTCCAAGAGCCCAGAAAGAGTATATAAGGAGCCCTTCTTGACCACGAACTCAA